CCGTAAGGTAGGGATGCGCGGAAAGGATGGCGTGTTCGAACGAGGTTGGTCAGCAAAAATTACCACGGATGGTCCGCAAGGGCAAGGATGCAAGGGCAGCCTTCGACAAATGCTCATCCTTGCTATGCGGGTTGACTGCAGCTCCACGCCTCCGCGAAGATGGGGACGATCGAAATGAGTACGGAGAAAAACGGGCACAAAGACCGACAGCAGTTTCGGTTCATTTGGGACAAGGTTCACTGTTGGCCTCGCCGCGGTCGTTGTCCTTTTGAACCACAGACTCGCCTGCCTGACAGCGGCCGCTGTCGGCCCTGGACAACATTCGATGTTGGGCGCATCGTCCTCATATTTTCTTTACCCATTTCCGGCGTCCAAAGAAGGCACGGGTACACCCCGGTGTTTTGGGCGCGAATCAGTGGAGGGCGATCGGTGGGGGGGAAGAAAGGCGCCCTCTTCGGGCCCTGAGAGCCTCCTTGTGGGTTGATGGGGCCCTGAGTGGGCCCCTCTCTGCAGCCGTCGCTGCCCATCCAACTATCGCGCCCCGCCTGCGCGTCCTCCGAATGGTCTGCGCCCCCGCCCGGCTGGGGCGGGGGGGGGTTGGGCGCGGCGAGGGCGGCGCGGCAGCGCGGCGGGAGCAGCGCGGCAGGGTGCCATCGGGCCTCGCACGACAATCAAGAGCTGCCCCGGGGTTCGGGGGCGTCACGTAGCAACGCCCCTGGCGATGATTCGTGCGTTGGCTTCTAAGCCTACTCGTGTTGGGAAACATCTACTGAGAGGTCTTCGTCGGAAAGATTAAAACGAATTGCGCCCCCTTGGGGGGCTACAGCGCCGGAATAGACCGCGGATTAAGCGGGATTGAACAAGATCCAACGGGATTAACGGATTAACTGGGGTTGAACCGATTTAAGCTGGATTCCAGGCCCGGGCAAGGTCTGAATTTTACCTACCAGGACTTGCATTCGAACTCGTGGGCGTCGGCGTCGACGGCAATGTGTAGAATCATAAGACTGCTGTCGAACAAAAAAATCCAACGCCGATACGAAACATCCGCGCGGTCTTACGGAAAATTGTCTTTTGAGGCAGTTGTTCTTGTTTCGAGGAAGGGGGGGGAGGAAGGCTTAGGTCGGGCATGTCCCCCTACAAGCGGATTTTGGACGACAAATATAAGAATACCCCACAAATACTCCAAACAACAGCAAAAATAATCAAACATTCGTCCCCAGACTATTCTCTATCTTTGAATATTCCCCCGAGGGACGCGCCCGACTTAAAAAGGTAGGCAGACATGCCGGGCAGCGGCCTCAAGCCCGGCTTGCTCGGGCTGAGCTGCTCGAGCTAGCCCGCGGCATCCTGGGAGGCATCGTCGACGAGGGCGCATCCCGGCGCCAGAGAGAAAAACCGTCGTGAGGTGCTTCGGCAGTGTTTGTGTCGAGGGCGCCTCGGAGTCCTTCTGGGATTCTAGGCCTCCCAGATGGGATCGGAGTAGATGGGGTTGGAGGCTACGCTACGACACCACGCTAACCGCAGCGCAAAATCCTCTGCCACGGAGCAAAATCCACCGAGGTAAAACCATAGGGAAGAACAAAGCCAAACAACAACAAACAAACTCTTCCTGTTCCCTCCGCCTCAAACGTTGCGTAGTGGCATAACGAAGTGTCACGCCGTGGTGCTCCCAACACTACGCTATGGCACTACGCTGCCAGTGTCGCAGCGTCCTCTCTCACGGCGCAGATTCACGCAAACCCCTAAGGACAAACGAACCAAAAACAAATCTTCTCCCCCCGCTCAGCTGTAGCGCGCTGTCATTGTGTAGTGTGGCGCCCAAAGGTCCCCAAAACGACGCTATGACTCTACGCTACGGGTATCGCAGTGTCCTCTCACACGGAGCAGAGTCAAGTAACATCCAAAGGAAAACAAACGAACCAATAACAACTAGTTCTTCTCCGCCCACTCAACCGCAGCGTAGTGTCATAGCGCAGCGTCGCGCCCAGGTGCCCCGAACACTGCGCTATGATACTACGCTAACGATATCGTAGTGCCCTCTCTCATGGAGCAGATCCAAGCAGAACCCGACGGAAAAGCAAACGGAGGAGAACAAAACAAACAACATAAATATTCTTGTTCCCCCGACTCAACCGCAGCGCAATGTCACAACGTAGTGTCACGCCGACGTGTCCCCAACGCTACGCTATGACACTACGCTAACGGTAGCGTGGCGTCCTCTCTCACTGAACAGAGTCAAGCAAAACCAAAAAGAAAAACAAACGAACAAAACGACTCCATCTCCCCCGCCTCAACCGCAGCGTAGTGCCATAGCGTAGCGTCACACCCTGGTGCAACCAACACTACGCTATGACACTACGCTGACCGTGGCGTAGTGTCAGATTATAGTGACACGCCCACGTGCCACCAACGCAACGCTATGACACTACGCTAACCGTAGCGTACTGTCATAGCGTAGTGTCACGCCCGGGTGTCCCCGACACTACGATATGACACT